TTGCGTGCTAGTTAGAGGCGCGCAACGTTATACACTGATAGTTCGAGTCCTTGTCGAACGGGCCGCTATATGGCGTGCGTTTTCGTGTTTTCCCCACGTGTAACATGGATGCGAGACAATTTTCCTTAAAACGGTCCTTCCCTGGCTATCCCTCCCTTGCCATGCAGTGCCTACAGACGAAGCACATATTAAGTGATAAAATAAATCTATGAAAAGAAACTCAAAATACTTTCAAATATAGATCCTTCAGATTTATGAAATTGTTATAGTTATTGGTATTTTAGATGCCGACTACCAACTTTGGCAAAGAAAATTGTACCGAGTGCAAAATAGTTTATCTGCAATATAAGCTCAAGAAACGTGAAATAAAGATTTTTTCCTAATACTTACAAACTTTTGAAAATCTTAATAACATTACCAGTTACCATACATACTGTGGAAGGCTCGTTTTCTATGAAAATATATCTAAAATATTATTTACGAAATAGTACATGTGAATCGCTTTTAAACAGGTTATGTTTGATGTATAAACATAAAAATTTACTTGTAAAAGAAGAAAATTTAAATATACTTAAGCAAAAAGAAAAGAATAAAAAACTTCAAATGAACATCAAAATATGATTTGGTTTAACTTAAAAAACTGCTTTTAGAAGTATCTTTGATAAAATAATGTACATATTTTTGCCTTGTTGACTGATTATTAAACTTTCATCATCAACAATATTGAAATTAAGATGCAACTGAATGTATGTTATATATAGTACTTACGTAACCTGATATCATAGTAAATATATGATTTTGTGGTTTAAATTTAATTTTCAAACTGTAAAATTATAAAGAAGGAATTTTTGCAACAGTAGTTTTAGCATTCTGATGAGGATTGCACCTCATCATTGCAAGTAATTCTAGGTATACCAGTGGTGACAGCAACATGCATCCATTCTGATGGAATTTATAAAACATCAGTATTACAGTATTATATGCATCCTTTACAAAGTAGAACTTTAATATACACAGATAAACAGATTTCATGAAAATTTCTAGCCTTAAAAAAATGTTCCCATACTGATATTCAGTCAGCATCAAATGCAGAAGCAACATGTATTTCAAAATACTTGGATGATGATAATTTCGCATTTTCATTAGAACTTTCCCATCAGATAATGCCTCATGTTGAAATAATTTACAACCAAATGCAATATCCAAAAATTAGTGCACTTAAAAGGTAATGAATATATAACAGATTTCAAAACTGCTATTTTAGAAATAAGAAACTGAAAGTATAGTAAGAATCCTTCAAAGACAGACACAGCAGAAGCTGAGGAAGTGTATGACCGTGTATGGTTGATAAAATGAACAAATATTTAAATGGACAGATAACAGACAGATATTTAATCATATTATATGGATAGAATGGGCAAATAAGCTGAACACTCAGTAGCTGTTAAATTACTCAACAAGAAAAACTTCACCAGTTTTAAGTACTGAAGTGCCTAAAGAAGGAATAGCACTGACTACTTAAGCATATCTCATGACTAATTTGAAAGTGAACTAATTATGGATCCAATATGCGTGAATATTGCAAATTAATTGAGCAACCAGAAATTTATTTTGGAAAAAAAATCTAAATGATGTTCTTAGTGAAATTATGGAAATTGATAAAATTTCTCTTGATAACCATCATGACCACATCAGTATTAGAAGTGGACTTTTCAATATTGAACAGAATAAAAACTTTTCAATGGAGCACTATGAATCATAAAAGAGTAAATGCACTTGCATTGCTTTCAATAGAGAAACAGTATCTCAACAGCCATTAAGTGATCAAGACAAAAATTATTAATCTTTTAGCATAAAGTAGAACAAGAAGAATGAATTTTGTTTTTAAATGAATGCATTAAGCTTGAACTGTAACAATTGAGACTATTCGTAAGGGAAAAAAAAAATGCTTGTTTGATTATAATTTTGCCAAATTTATGTATAAATTTTCCTCCTATACGTTTGTTTTTATTTACACAATATTAAAACAACTGCTAAAGATTTTCTAAAGCAGCAACCCCACTTATTTTAGCTACAAACCGCCAGTGCTCGACACGAAATTCAAACACCAATCATCTCTTTTCTCTGCTATCACGTGATTTAAATCATAGAACAAAACAGCATAACTGCTAGGCACTCCAAATTAGTTTGCGCCGTCAACTTTGAACTGTCTGAGACTTTACATTTTATTTCTGGGCAGTTTTTACTATCCATGCTTTTCCATTAACTATGCTAGCACACAGTCGCTATGCCTGGTTAATCTTCACATTCCTGCATGCAGGATAACAGGAGCTTGAACTTGTGACCAGTTCAACTTACGCGTCCTTTTTATCTGATGGTAGATTTTGATGATCCTGCTGAGAAATCTGTTGCAGATTTTTTTCTCACAAAAGACAAAAAGCAAATGTAGAAACGAATACTGCATGTTTTAGTATTAGTAATGATCTCTTAAGGCAATTTATTTTTGAGTATTTTAAGGAATACCATGCATGTCAGCGAAGAAAAAATTGCACTGAAAGTTACATGCTAAAAATATGACATAATATTTATTTTGCAGCAATAATGGCATAAAATATCCATTAAGGCCTGTTCCCATTGGGGTTTATCTGAGCTAACAGAGTCAGTTACACGTGTTGACTAGCTGCACTATGCCTGCAGTTCAGATTTTCCAACTGCCCTATGGGAAAAAACTGGTTTTGGAGATGGGTCGGCTATGTTAATTGTCCCCGTTAGCTCAGATAAACCCAGTGGGAACGGCCATTTAGTGTAACAATACATATTTCTTCTGACATACATATTTTTTCTGCCATACATATTTTCCCCGGATGAAAATATCACTCCATTTTTAATACGTAATTAAATATACATATAAAATATACAATTGCTATAAATTTTTACTCTCCAAAATATAAAGAGATTAAAATATTATATTTCACAAAATATAAATGTTAAGATGATCATCACAGGAATTTACACAGTCTATCATGTACAGGCATAGAAACAATTCCAGCTAAAGCTATTCCTATAGAATCTCCAAGAGATGCTACACCCATAGAAAATTCTTTGTCTTCTTCAGCAACCTGATGAAAGGAAATATTTCAGTATTAGCTAGATATAACAAAAACCAGGTACAGTCTTATTATATTTAAACTGATGATCTATAATCCGGAATCGCCGAAGTCCCGACGAGTCCGGATTAACGACTTTTGACTACCATCCTAATAAAAAAATAGAACCGTAAGCAGGATGCATTATTGGTAAACATAATTTAATAAAAACAACTACAGTACAAAGTCTTTAATCCGGACTCGTCGGGACTTCGGCGATTCCGGATTATCGATTTTTCCGGATTATAGATCATCAGTTTAAATCTGGTAAGATGGCATGCAGAAATTATAAAATTAAAAATATGAAACCGTAATTTATGAAATAAAGAGCAATTATGATCTAAAGGGTATCAAAATTTACAAAAAAAAAGCAAAGCTTAATATTTGTTTGTTTACTTTATTAAACATTTCTTTCAACGTGCGCATGCGTAAAGCATACATTACGCATAGTCGAAATTAGAAAATTGCAACCAGAAAACTATTTGATTTGTATTCGTGATATTTATAATGACGAGGAATTTAATTTAAATCATATCAAAGACGGAGTACATCGAGATGAAATACTACATTTAGTAAGCCGAATAAAATAAAAACATCTGCCTTTGGAGATAAGGATAGTCCAGTTCATTGCGCTCCGCGACGTTCCCCCCCCCCGGGGCAGAGCGGCGTGAAATTGATAAACAGATTTCAGAATGGTTAGTGAAACAAAGGAGCCTTTATCCATTTTTTGCAGCAATTCCACTTTTTGTTTGATGGACATCGAAACATGCTTTCTCTTTGTTGATCCTTTGGCAGCTCCAGCATCGGAAATTCTATTTGACATGATCGAAAGTTCCAACTTACTTTTATAAAATTGCTCAAACAGTCTGCAAAAAATAATAAGCCGGATCCAATTCAAAGATTAAGGAACAACGCAATCTGCAACATTAACTGAAATAGATAATTAGATAATTTTAGCTTAGCTTATACCGTCCGTTATACACTAAACGCGCATGCGTAAACGTATTATGCGCATGCGTAAAGGTATTACGCGCATTGCGTTGACGCATGCGCAGAAAATTTGTAGCTTTGAGGTCCGGATTATAGATCATTCCGGATTATGGGTGTCCGGATTAACGACTTTTGACGGTATATGATTTTTCACGTTTACCCAGTCGTGATTTTCAATCATTTTTAACTATACACAGTTTGACGTTAAAATTCCAATATCAGTCCTCGAAGAAATAATCAGTTACTAAGAAAAATTTCAAAAATAAGTATTTATGTGTATGTATGCGTATATACACATATGAAAATCATACCATCACAACTGCATAAATTCTGTGGGGGAGATACCTTGCCAGGGTACATAAAAGGTAACTGAAGAATCGTACACTACGATCCACAATTTTCTAGAAATACGAAAGAAAAAAAAATATGACGTCACATCCGGGAGTCCGGCAAATAAACTTTATTGGAAACATGAACATTATGGCACATACATATAACATATATGCTTTACACGGGAAGATGATAAAAGTAATCATCGCGCATATCGAAGCATGCTTATGCGCGGCGTTTAATGCCTGAATGAACTTTCAGTAATGTGGTGCCAACAAAATTGAACAAAGCATGAAGATGACATCAAGACCCTAATCGCTGCTTTTACGGCTGACAATTCGGATAGGAAAACACTATTATTATTATAGAGATGACTTTCTATTTAATGATATTTGAAGGGACAATTTGAAAATAGACTGCTGAATCAAATTGTCCTCCAATTTTTGATCCATCAGTATATGCAACTGGAGATCAAGTACTCGAATTTTCATCAGATATGGGGAATTTTATTTTGCTGAAGGAAAGCGCTGGATGAATAAGATTAGGGTGAAAGCGTATAAGAGCTAAAGTATCAAGAGCTGCATTTGAAATTGAGCGACAGACTCGAGTAAAAATGCAAAGAGTTGGTCTTTGAATTTAATTTAAACATTTAATCTTTCTCACTGTCATTAGTTGTGCCCGAATTCCAGCTATATAATTTAACATTTTTAATATGACTTGTTTAGAAGAATCCGTGTTATAATGGGGATTTAAGTCCAGTTGTATCCATGCGTACGTCCTAGGTAATTAGCTACTGATGTTGTACGAAGTTTAATATTTTGTAAATGAGAAATCCAAGAGAATTTCTTGCCGATTGTTAAAAGGTACTTGATTGTTTTCACAAACTTGATCTTTTGATCATCAATTTTTAGAGTTAAGGCTTTAGTTATATTTTACCCTAGTTTATGGACTACTAAGAGAGACTTACTATGTGAGATTTACAGTTTTTGAATTTTGCAAAGTTGATTAAATATCTCAAGTTTTTCATTGCAATTATCCTGTAAAATGTCTTTCGTACGAAGGCTTGTAATAAAGGAACATCGTCTGCAAAAGCGAACATTTTTTAGTGTTCTGGCTACGAATAGGCAATGATGTTGTTGAAACTGATATTCCAGAGATCTGCACTCATGCAAGACCCCTGGGGACATCCTTTGACTTGATTACGCACAATTTCAGTGTTGTTGTAAAGAATGATGAAATTCCTGTTTCTAAAATATTCCCATGAAATCGGACACCCAAAAAGCTATTTTATCTCTTACCTTCTTTCCCACTGATTTCCGACATAAATTCTCTTCTTGCCAGAATTCCATACCACAGAATTAAAATTTCATGGATCAAAAGGCCATAGTGAGCATTTTAATAATGCGCCAGGCATATAAATTAGCCAAAGAAGCAGCTCTTAATCAAGATGGTAATGAAATCACTCTTCCATGGCCTCGCTCAAATTTCAAGTACCAACTAAAACAACGTGCTTCAAAGTCTTGGCAAGATTTGTGGAATAATGCTTCACACGGAAGACGCTCATATAACTTGATCCCTAATGTAAGTTTCGCATCTCCGTACTCGAATACTCCATTAAATTACTACTATATATCAGAATACGGACCCTTCACCACATAAATTTCTGCGCAAGAAGTAGGTTGAACTCCGATATATGCATATGTAGGGAACAGGGAACTCCTTCTCATTACACTTTCTCATGCCTCTTAACTGAGAAAATTCACATAAAATCCTAACAAACGGATCTACTGGCATTCCAAAGGTGTTTCTAATCAAAGATAAACAACAATATCCGAGGTTTGAAAAAATTATGCAACGACTCTCTTCCTACGGCCCAGGTCTTTGTCAAGTTCTCATACCGCATAAATTTAGTGAACTTTTACATCCTGTGAATATGTACAAAATCCCTCCACTTCTGAACTTTGTAAACTATAATAACCTTTTATAACTGAAATAACTCCATAGACACCTACCTATTTAGTATTATTATTACAGTTCAATATAACATTGTGTTCCCAGTTGTTATTATAGTGATCTCATTATGTTTAACTGTATATTAATAATGCTTATCTGTTATTTTTGTTACACGAAAACAGATCTTCAATTTAATTTGTGAATTTCAAATTCTATGGAGACTATATTGTAATCTCTTTATGTCCTAAATCATTATTTTTAATAAATACAAGATGCGATGCGTACGGTGGGATTGCACGATCTACTATAATAGGTAAACTAGATCATTTGGAAAGCTTCAGTTTTCCATTTCCTCAACCTTTCTTTGTAAATTATCATAAAGTTTAATTTTTTTTTAAAAAAGTAAGTGAGTATGGGAAGGCATTACCAATTTATTCATGGTACATTGCTAGTGTCCTCCATACTTTTACCTCTATCTGATCAAAGTTTATTGTATTATTAATATTAAAATTATGCATTATTTCTTTTCTACTTATAGAGCTTCTTCCTAAAATACTTTCTCAAATATGACATGAATTTTTAGCTTCTGAGGCATCTTTTAAATCGAAAAATATAAGTAAATTTATAATTAATGCTCTAGTCGGTCCACTTCAAATTAGAGCACCTTTTATTTTAATAGCGAAATACTTTAAATAGTACTTAACTTTCCCTGAATATTTCTGAAAGAGAATAAAATAAGGGCTTTTTTTTTTTTTTTAATATTATTTAAAACTTGTAACTTGGTTATTATAAAATGTAAGGGGAATAATTCTTTTAATACTTATCAGATTTTTTACCCTTAATCTCAACAATACATATTCCAAAACTCTTCTTTATTACTTTTCTTAAGTACGCATTTCATAGAATTTGCTTTACCTTTTAGCAGATTGCTTTCCAGTACGAACAATAGTTTTATAACGTAATAAATAATAGTTAATAAATAAAAATAGTTAAATAGTTTGCTTAAATAGTTTTATAACGTATTTGTCAACAGGATTTCAATTTTCATGTTTACAATTCAATGTTAAGGTTATTATACATTTAGATAATATTTAAAAATTAGATTTCCTCACAGTAACTTTCACAGTTGTTTATGAATGAATAAATCCTTCATTTCAAATACATTTATAAATAATTTAATAAATATTTACGTATTTTGCTAAAGGCAGATACATGCTTTTTGCAACTACATGCATAAACACCCATACATATTTCATATTTTTCATTTCCGGCATGCGGAAATCTTTATTTTCTGTGCATTCACTATATTTTTCGAGTAATTTACACTAATTTAACATATACCCGAAAGTTTTACATATGAAATATGGTCCGTCGATTACCCTATTTTCAAATTCTTAATAAGCTGTCTTGATGATGTGGCACGTTTCACATGGTCACATCATCTTGACCGCACATGTTACTTCCGCCGAATTCGCAAATGTTTGTGTAAAACTGCATATAATTTTACAAAAATGTATTGTTACAAATCAAGGAAAAGTTAATTTATTGACATATCTGTGTGTATATTTATTAATTTTGACGAAGATTGCAGCATTTGGCGGTAATTTTATTTTTAATTAACCCAAAATAAGTAAAACGTGTAAGCCGAAAGTGATTATTTTTCAGATCTATAAAAATAACATGAGTTTAAAATGAGCAAC